GCTCGTTTCCCATCACCTTGGAAAATACTCTGCAGCTGTGGAAATCGAGAGGGGAAAACACCTGCCTTAGGGGCAGGGAGATTTGTACTCCCGCTTTACATGCAGGCAGCTATACAAAAAAGCATGGGGGATTTGGCTCTCAAGGTACTAACTGATAAATGTTACATTTGGTAACAGCATTCATACACATTTTCTTGCTAAATACACTGATAACGCAGTACTGTGGCTTTGAAATACAACCTAAGTAGTAGAAAAGCATTTTGTGAGCGTGTGACAAGGATGAGCATCTCTCATAGAAGAGATATTTGAAAATCCTCAAACTCCACGATGTCTTTGATCTCCTCAGTTGTTACGTACCTAACGCGAGCCACATCTTTAACTTAAGGATCGTTCTAGGGAGAAACCATGCACCGCATGCTCAGTGGTCTTTTAGAGAAGCATTGGAGATCACTGTGGTAGGTAGGCAGGCTTGGATGATGTGAGTTTGAGTCCCAGCTCTTCACAGAGGCGGGAGCCAGCACCTCCTTCTGCCTTTTCCTCAATCTGATCCATATGTCCTTACTGCCCTGAGAAAAGGGCCAAGCAGGCAGCAGCACGAAGCGTGGCTGTGGAAGAAGAGATGTCTACTTGTTGTCTTCGGTCTTCTCAGCCGGGAGAAAGCAGGCAGCTGGCGGGAAGCGGTGTGTAGCGTGGGTTCGGCCCACAGCCCTTGGTGGAGTGTCTTCTCTGGCTTTGAGGGCAGGCAGAAGGCACCGCCATGTATGGCAGCAAGTTTAACAACCGCTGGCATTTCGAAACAAAATGGGCCCCCCAAAACAGCAGTGTTTCTTTTTGGTAGGTCTCTTTAGAAAACATCATCATACCCGTTTTCTCAATTTGCGTGTCTGAAAAGCGTCTGTTCAGTTAATTGGTTAAATTAATTTCTGCTGTTGTAAACGGAGAGCTGTATTAAGAGCAGAACTAAAGTAATTTTACTTTGCATTATTCTGTGTCATGGCACATCGTTTCTTTCTCACTCAAGGCGATTCATTTTGTGGTGCTGTCAAATATTTTTTTTGTGTCATCCTCAGTCAATGTAGCTTTTACAATTTTTCCTGATACTTTAACAGTTTATTTAGTCCTCTAGATAATGGTCAATGGCCTTGAGTAGTCAAATTAACACCTCGGCAGCACTATATTTGAGCAAACCGCTAACGGTAACCTGAGGATGAAAAGCAATGAGAATCAATATAGTGAGCGTATTTTTAGGGATTATTGATTGATTGATGCGTTCCGGCCTTAACTTGAAGAGGCAGCGTTGCCCCACAGCTGACTAAGATTAAGTTGCCAGTTACTGATAACTGCAGGCCATTACCTGCGTAGTATTTCACGAGCTCGGAGATTAGATGGAGACCTTTTACGGTCCTTCGCTGAAGAAACCGTGGCGTTGGCAGGGTCCGTAATGCCTGCCCGGCTGCGGGAAAACGCTGCGCGCTTCTCCGGCTCCTACCCGCCCTGAGACTCGGAGACGACGTTGATTTGCTCCAGCGCTAGCCCGTTGTTCCTGTAGGGATCTCTTTGGGACAACCGAGGCACTAATGGCTTGTCTCCCCCCGCCGCCTCCGAAGGCAGCTCCGCAGAAGGTGGGAGCCACGTTAAAGCTGCGCTGCTGTCAGCAGGCTGAGCGCTGCGGGTCTCCCCGCCACAACTCTCAATTGCTAGCAGGTTTCTCTCATTGCACCTCATTTGCATCTGGGACATCAATTAGCATGTTTGTTGAGGCTAATTGAATGAAACTCAATCATAGCTCTTAATTGCTTGACTATGTGAAAAGAAATCACATTAATGCAGCTAATTAAGTGTATGGCAATAGATGCAACATAATTAGGAGCGAAATGTAAAAAACAAGCGATGGCGAAGGTGCGAGCGCAGGGGTGCGGGGACTGGGGCGCTGGCTTCTCCTGTTAGCCACACGTTTGGGGAGGGTTCCCTTGCCTTTGCTGCTTGCTTTGCTTGCTTTTTTTTTTTTTTTTTTTTTTCTGGGTTGTTGAATGATGAACATGGACAAGTTGAGAAGAAAAATGCAAATGGAGTTGCAATTACTACTTTTTCAAGCTGTTGAGGGGCAGAAGATGGCACTTCTGGGGTGGCCCACTGTTGAGTGGGCTCTAGGGACTTGTTAAGTGCTGTTTAAAAGTACTTGGCTTTGAATTACCCTCATGCCTTGTTAAAGGGTTTTTTCCCCTTTTTTCTCGGATCAGCATTTTCTACAACTAACATCTAGGGGAGTTATATCTGTAACATTTGCATATCAAAATCAGGCTTGCTGTCTTCTCTTTAACACAGCATATTCCACATGACAGCAAGACCCTCATCTGTTCTAATCTGATCAAACCCTCCATTGCACTTCTGAAGCCGCGACATTATTTTGTAGTTTTAACTTTTATTCCCCAAGTGCAGATCTGAAGGAGCGCACATGGGGGCGGATACTCCACTGACTGGAAACTTGGTGCTTGCTTCTCCTCCTCGGGGAAATGCAGAGATTATCGCTATGCATCTTGCACACAATGAAAGAGGCTTTATTATTTACATTTGATATATCCCTATAAATATTTAAGCTGACGTTAATACCTATGTGGCATCTGTTGTGTTTGGGCACTTTCGTATAATAGCGGTACGGCTACAGCGCATTTATTTCCTGTTTGCCAACATTCACTTACTCTCTCAAATGGTTTATAGCTCACCTAAGCCTGGTTTACTCTCAATTAAAAGGTCTTTAATAATGCCCTGTCATATCTCACAAGTTGGCAAGGTAGCAGGGAAATCACAGGCACTGTTCATCTGAAGAATTTGGAATAAACACCTACTCAGATTTCAATGGAGTACACTGGTTGTACGTTAAATAAAACATGTCTATTAAAAAGAGTGTATGCCGAGGTTTAGTTATGATCTGATTAAGCCTCATTTTAGAGCCCCATAAGCAATAAATGCTCAATTATGTTCTGCTTATTGTATTTTAATTTGTGAAGAACTGACACTGAACAAGAAAGTTATGGCAACTTGATAATTTATGGATGAAACCATTTTGTTCATTTCTGTCTAGCACCTAGTGAATGAGTTTTTATTAATGGATTGCCTTTGTTTCTTTTGGCAGCAGAGCTCTGTGTCCGCACCCCATGAATTGTTCAGACCCTTCCCCCCCCTCCTTTTTACTGTTAATAATTCCCAAACAGCTGCTGGGGGGGGTGGGGAGGTGGGGAAGCTGGTGTGATGGCTTAGTTTTGGGGTTTTATCACAAATCACTGTTAGCTGTGAAGAAATGAATGCTGGTCCAGTAGTGGATTTTTGGTGTGTTCTGAGCAGAATATATAGTTTTTATTGTAAAAACTGTCAAAGGTGGAAGGATTTTTGTAAGGGAGCTGATTGGACCCCGTATAATGGCAGCAGAAATGTTAGACCTCAGCTATGCTTTTAGTCCATTCAGGTATTTACTTGTAAAATAGATGCTCTGGTGCTGTACAGGTCTGTAGGCTGCAGGTTTGGAACCAACCTAGTTAATGCTTGTAGTCTTTCATGTAGCACCTCTAATCTGGCCAAATCTTGCCCTGGCCACTTGGCCAGCTGGGAGTTATGTCTTCGTTGGCAAGCCTTTGCTCGTGCAGATGCCCACAGCATCACCCAGGCCTCTCTAAGTTGATCAAGTTCTGTCTGAAAAGGAATTAGATTTTTTTGTCCCAGCTGCTCCACATAGAAGATTGCTCAAGAATACCATTCCCTTAGTTTCCAGCTTAACTCAAGACCTTAGGCCCAGATCTTTTTCCAAGCTTCAGTTCAACTTGCTGTTTCCCTCTTGGGGTACACAGACCCAGATGTATTTTTGTGCAATGCCGTTGCCCCTTTTCGCTCTTTACTTTGCTATCTTGTGTTACTTCTCATAAAATACAGTCTCTTTGTTTCTTTTAGTATCCTCATAGTTGTTTCAGGTATTTTTTTTCTGGCACATGAGTAACCACGGTCGTGTGTATCAGGAGATGAAAACTTGGTGTCGTGTACTGGCTTTAACATTCACCATCTCCACTGGAAATTCCTCTTCTGATATATCCCAGGGTTGCAGCCTCAGCGGCTGTTTCACCTTAATGTACTGTCATTTGCCCTCTGATAAAGACACCCATGTCCATTTGCTTTTCTGTTTCCATCTGAAGAAGTCCACAGACAATCTAGGGAATGCCTTTGGAGCTGGAAAGCAGAATCTCAAGAGCCTGTTTTTCCAGAAGCTGTTTACAGTTTGAAGAATTTTCTCATGGATTTCTCGGGAAGCAGTGGCTTTGCTCCAGTCAGTTGACACTGTCTTTCCACAGCTGACTGGGTTTGTCTGCTTATTTCCTCTTCATGGGTTTTCCAAACAAGAATTAGGAAAAGCCTTTTCCACTTCTGGCTTCCAGCTTTTAGTGTGATTACTCTAATCAGATACAATTTGCATAATTTTTTCCTTTCTATGATTTTTTTTTTTTTTTAATGTGTGAAGGAAGGATCGTATTCTAATGAAACAATGTTGTAATTGCAGAAACCTTACCAGCCAGTGCCCTTTCATAACTTCTGTCCCTGCTGACCAGTTTCAGCCAACCTTAAGGGAGAAAGAGATAAGTGCATAAAATGTTGTCAGAGAGGAGACACGAGTCTGCATGCTCATGAGGGACAGTCAGCCTTGTCTTCTCCTTCTGTTTGGGACCTGCTAGCTGATAAATTCCTGTGTGTGGCTCAGAACCAGCCACATTGTGAATTGCCTCTTACCCGACTGGTAGCTGGAGAATGTATTAGACAGCTCCAAACTTTTGAGACTATTTGTAGTGAGAAGTGTGGAAGTGATTATCAAGAAAATGGAAGAAAGGGGAAAACCATATGGTGGGTGTTGACAGATGATGTAGGGCAAAAGTCTTAAGAAACCAGGCTTCATTAGTTCTACTGCTTACAGAACTACTTGTTTGACGTTGGGTTTTGTTTTTTTCTTTTCTTCTTACCAGGACTATATGCAGAACGTTCATGGGAAAGAAATCGACTTGCTGAGAACCACTGTGAAAGTCCCTGGGAAGAGGCCGCCCCGAGCTACGTCAGCTTGCGCACCCATTTCCAGCCCCAAAACAAACGGCCTCTCCAAGGACATGAGCAGTTTACACATCTCGCCAAATTCAGGTAAGAGAACACTGTGCTCGGGAAAAAAAGGGAAAGGCTGCATTTCCAGTGTCTGTAGGCAATTGTCATGTACAACTGGGACAGGGACGATATCTATTAATAGTTTACAAATCCAAATAACCACTGATGTCTAACTTTTAAAGTCCTGACTGCGGAGCTGTCCTCCACGAGAGATTCTGAGTAATCTTCAATGTCCATCTTTTTATATCTGTTGCCTTACACGTGCCAAAACCCTACATATTTTCACAGAAATTAACATATGTGAAGAGTTGATGCCACCTCACGACTGATCTGTTAGGTCTAATAATTTGGAAAAACAAGAGATGTATCATTTGAAAGGGCTTATTGCGGCTTCCTGGTGGGCTGCACAGCACTTCTTTCCACCTTTAGAAGGATGCATAATTTTGGACTTTCCAAGAGCAAGATTCTTCTGTAGAAAGCTATTTTAGTTTGTTTATGGAAGTAGTTTATAGCTCCTTGTGAGCTCTAAACAAAGAAGTTTATTGTTCGCTGAACTATTTGTCCATGCAGCTAAGTGGATTTAAAAAATTGCATTAAGGAGAAACATTTAAGACAATTTATCTTGTAAAATGCACAGCTTATACAAAACTCATAATGGTATAGTGTTGGTGTGGAAGTTTTGTCAGCATGTTTTGGATGACGTCCATAAAGCGCCTAGTGCCTTCTGCATTTATATTTAATGTAGACACCTCCGGCATGTGCTGACAAAACCATCCAAACACACTTTTGTCCCTGTGCAATACGTACTACACAAGTAGTGAAGGAGCTCAAGTTACCTTGCTATTCAAGAGTCTTCTCTCGGATAGTAATAGTTATCATATGCCTCAAGCCAAGATGTAATTCCCTGCATTTTTGTGATGTGCATTCCCCTCTATTAGGGGAAGGGGGAGAAGGATTTTCCTTCCAACTGAGGATGCTGCTTGTTGAGATGAATGTTTAAAAAAGGAAAAAAAAAAAAAAAAAAAAGCCTTGTGGCTTTACAGTGGTGCCACTGAGCAGACATCCCTGGAGATCTTGCGTGGCAAGTTATATTGGTTTGGCCTGGGACCTGAAATGTCTGAAGCCATGATTTCATCAGACTCTTTTTCAAGTTGTAACCTACCCCTTGGGAGGCACAGAGCTGGCATTGTCACTGGAAGAGCTCATAGGAGAAAATTATTCATGGTTGGTTTGTTTTTTTCCATTTTGCTATTTAATTTAGGTGGCTGGGTGTGGGGAGTGTTTTTGTTTTTCAATGTATGCCATAATTTAGGGAAGAAACGTGCTGGATTGAGTCAATAAACCAGTGGTAAGACATCTAAGTAAGAGATTTCTGCTTTTAAGACACTTGAACACAGGCAAAAATTACTTGGTTGATCCAGAGAAGTATGTTTCTGGAAACATACTCAGAGATACCTGCTAATATAAGGTTTATAGCATGGCATTAACATGCTTTGGCATAAGCTTAGATTGCCAGGTCAGAGGGAAAAAGCTTGTACATGACTTAAGTGAATATTACACATTTCATTTTGTCTCAGGACACTCTGCACGTGTAATGCTTTCTTTATATGAAACTGTACAGTAAACAGCTCGCTCTGCCAGTGGCGGTAGCCACTGTGTATGTATCCTGGTTAGCCTGAGCTTTTATCGCACAGCAGTTATTTTAAAAGAGAAAAGTTAATTGTGCTAGAAAGTGTAAATGCTGGAAAACAGCTCTGCCTTTAGATAACTATTTTCAAATAACATGGTGGGAATAGTTGGAGCTTCTGTCCTCTCTCTTGACTTCTTTATCATGCTGCTTAGAAATTCCTGTTGTTGATGTCTGGTTACCACAGCTCAAGAGATGGACTGTGGTTAAGCCTCAAAATAATTAATGCCCTCCTAATGTATGAAAGAGTCGTATCCAAGGGAAGTTGAACCTGATTTCTCTATCATTACCCACTTGAATACCTTCGTTTCCCCTCTTGTGCATCTAGGACGCTACGCCGATCCTTCTTTAATTTTAAGCAAGTTCTTGACCTGCTTATCCTTGCATGGCTCTCTTCCCATAGATAAAGCAAGCATTGATGTCTTAATTATATTACCCCTATAGCTGGCTGGAAGCATAACAGTTTTGAAGCATCTTTATAACTTGCTGGGGGAGCAGGTGAAGACAGGCTGGACTGAACAGCTTTATGCTCTACGTGGCAGCCAGCCAGCCTGTTCCTACCGAGCTACCTGCGGTCTCACGCCCGCTTTGGGTGTCGGAGGATATAGAAGGGGGATGGCTAAGGTTTCAGTGTGAGAGGGAAGGTCAGCGAAGATAAAACCTTACAGAGATGTTTGCATTTCATTAGTTCAGCTGCATACAAGGGGAGTGTTTTCAGACCCGCTGTAGTATTTTGCCCCGTAGCCGTTGTTTCTGAAATTCCAGTTGGTACATTCAGTGTATTATCAGCCATGGTATCTCTTCTTTGGGGCTCTCCTTCAGAGAATGTGTTTCTTCTGAAGAAGCTGCCTTCATTGAATCTTTCTTACTTAAGGGCCACATTTGAGGTCTGTCTGGTTATTACGCTACTGGACAGAATGACCAGCAGCAGCAAGACAGTGGAGCTTTTTTAAGAAAGCTGATTGATCCAAGTAGTGATTACTGGGTTAAAAACAAACAAAAGAAGGAACTGCTAATCAGTAAAATATTACTTAAAAAAAAAAAAAATAGTAGGACAGACTGGATCTGGGAAATAACTGTCAGCAGCACGGCTGTGCATCAGGCCGTATGTCACTCTCAATACCCTTGTGTTCAGGTAAGACTGAAGAGCTGCATTGCGGAGAGTGATTTTAAAATATATGGGGAGTATTAGTATTGTAAAAAAGACACTGTCACAATCTGTGCCTGGCTTGTTAGTCTGAGCTTTCATGTGGTCAAGTATATTGATAGTGGTTTTTATGCAGAGGGTCACGGCTTCTGTTGGGTGGGAGACCTGCAGGTGCTCGGTGCTCAGCTTCTGGAGTGCTGGGAGGACTTCTGATATCTCTGCAGTTATCTGTCAGGCAACTAAAAACATTTGTAAATTATCCCTTGCAGTCTGTGCTGCTGTCTCAGGCTTTTTCTCAGTTGTTAGTGCTGGCAAAATGTTGTCTTCTTCTCGCACGATGCTTTAAAATTGATCACGGGGCTGAAATTGTCTGTTACTCTTTTTTCGTCGGGAGGTTTCTATACATGGATCTGCTGTAGGAAGGAGGTTTGGACCAAATACAGAAAGAATCAGCACTTGCTATTTTTATTTCTAGGCCTGCAAATACACTGCATTCTCACTGCTTCACATGATTTCTGTTCTTCTGTGTTCTTGCCACTGCAAACGTGCTACCTGAAGTGGAGTAATATTCGCCATGGTTAGGAAACAAGGACAATATTTCATTTAATTGGTTGACATGGTCAGGAACAGACTAATTTTCCTTCTGTTATTATGTAACTGTGTGCAGGTTGCTGAAGAAGCTAAGATATTACAAGAATACCACTGCTCAATTAAAATGTCACGTTTAGGATTGCCCCTGGTGATAGAACTCTCTCAGTCCTTGCTTATACGTGGTGATAGCCCAGACCCACAAAAGCATTTCTCAGCTGAGATTACCTATTTTCCCTAACTTGTTTTCCTAGAAATGTCTGAACTTCTTTTCATTCAAACATCAGAAATGGAAAAGTGAATGCTTTTTTATCATTGAAATGGTCAAATAGTGCTTATCTGAAATGATGTCTTCATTTGAAGACATCAATGGTCTGTTATTAAACACTGTTCAGAGGCTGCCCCTTAAGCATGGATTTCAGTGCCAACTTGGCTGATACATGTATGTATTAGATGTCTATTTGATTGCCTGTAACTGGCATGTTTTAAAATCATTCTTTCACAAGTGCCCAACAGATCGTTTTCTGCCTCATAGTGGAATTTCTTGTGTTTTGGGTAGATGCCAGCACATCGGCTGTTGTGGCAGGGAGGCGAAGGCAAAGCCTCTTGCCTATCAGCCGGTGGGTTGTAGAATACGTGCCTTGGGGATGGTGTCTCAGAGGTTGGTACCCTTCGGCGTAGGGGTCGGGAATAGCATGTGGGCAGACTTGGGATAGTTTGGGGCAGGGAGTAGGAGCAATCATCTCACAAGAGCCACTTTGGGGATGGTTTTTGTCTCCTAGCTCCCGCTGGATTTCTGCAGGGATGATCAGTGCTACTTTGTGTTTCTGCGGAGGCAGTGCTTCAGGCTAGAAGACATAACACCCCGTCCCTAAGAGCTCAAAACTTCATTCAACCTCTCTTCTGATCCCTACCACAGCCCATGAGGCAATAGGGCACCTTGAGCTCTTCCTCCTTCTCATCACCTTCCCTCTCTACAGCCTTCTTGGACCGAAGTGATTGTTCGCATCAAACACGTTTAGTCTCTTTCTTCCGAATGCTTAAGAGGGGTGAAGATCTTTCCCAAGGTGCTTCTCATAGCTATGAGAAGAACAGAAGGAATTAGGCTAATCAGGGTGACGTTGTAAATTCAAGAGGGGCATACTCCATTATTCGGTAATATAACAACCAAGGAGTAAGTGAAAGGTTTTTTTCCCGTTAGGTCTAATTGACGAAGATGTCACATGCAGAAGGAAAAATATAAAAGCATGTCATTCCTAGCACATGGAATTCAGTCGTGCTTTGTGGCTCTTCTTGTCTGAACAGGATTGTTTTTCTGATTTTAAAGGCTGTTTGATAAACAGACATATAGTAATCATCTCTGTGACAGCTATCCCAATCTGTAAATGTGTTTACATCCCGAACATCTGGGAGCAGATACCTCTGGGAAATAATCACCTTAGCAACAAAAGCCAAGTTCCAGTCCATCTTGAGTTTCCATTTCAGAGATGTAAAAAAACCCCAAAGATCTATATGAGAATATATGAAGAAAAAAACCTCAAGATGACTTTCCTGCTGAGTTTCCACACTGACACAAGAGCTGGGAAAAATACTTTTCCCTTGATCATGGTAGGACAG